ACCCGGCAGCCTCAGGGTTTTGCTCTCCGCACCCAGTGGATCTCCAGCCCCGAGGGGCAGAACCTGCTTTCGCGCAGTCCTCCCAGGGCCAGCCCTGAACCCTCAGCACGCTCCACGCACCAGCCCTCCACTCCAGGGCGCGTCCCTAGCACCCGGAAATACAGTCCTTGGCGTGTTCTCGCAGGGACCCGAGGCTTGGAGCTGCTGGAGCCCGCGGGGGGGCGACAGAGAGCTGAGAGTTTTTAAACCTTAGAGAGTCAGCTCTGAAGGGGCCCTGAGAGCGCTCTCTAGGGCAATCCCCTCCTTTTGCACACAGGGTCACTGAGGCCCAGGACACAAAGATTTCCCCTAAAGACACACAGTAAAGTGAAATGGATCCAAATCTGGGTTTCAAGAATGTTTAATCCCGCACGCTGAGGAAAAGCCGGATAAGGAAGGAAAAGCAAAGGGAATTTATTTTTAAGAGAGGAAGGGAAAAATCAGCTTTTGAAAAGAAATATCGCAGACAATGGGGGCGGTGTGGTAATGGAGAGAAAAAGCACTCAAGGCTCGGCTCACGAAAATTTAATTTTGATTGTTTTGAATGGGCTGAGATCGCCTTTGCCGACACCGCTCGGTGTTAAAATCTCTGGGCGGCAGGGTCCGAGCACCGAGTTAAACTCCTGCCAAGGCGGCACTGCGTTACCGCGCTGCTCTACAGAGATCCTCTTTCTTCGGGTTTAAAAAAAAGAAAGAAAGAAAGAAAACACAAAAAACCCACAAAAAAACACAACACACAGTTAACCACCTGTCAGGGCTGAGGATACAATGAGGCTCCTGGAAAAAGAGCTTTTCATGCATGCGTAATATATTTGTTCAGCTATTCACTTAATGAAGCTGATAAATGTGATGCAAGACAATAGTCAAGTTAATCTATTTAGTAAAATGTTTTGAGACTTTCAGGCTATGTTAAGGAGGGGAGCGTTTGGCGACATTTTCATTTAAATGCGCTCATCTCCCCTCTTAGGCTGCACAAGGGGGTTCAGGCAATCTATGTGAATATAATTTCTTATAAATGTGTCTTTAATGGGTTTAATTCACCCTTGCCAGCTGTTTTGGGGGCTATTTTGTAAGAGCAAAACAAACGTTTCAGGCTTGGAAAGCTAGTTAAAATTAGTTTCGGTCAGCGAGGCCAAGCTATATTTCCTGCAAACCATCTGCTTGATTGGCACAATAGAAGGATTTTCAAGGAAAAGGGTGGGAATGAGTGTGAAAGGAATGAGGGGTGGGGGAGACGCTAGAAAGGGCTGGGGCGGCCGGTAGCTCCTTGTGGCCTATTCTAAAGGTGAACCCCTTAGAGGTGTCTTAATAGAGCCGCTTGCCTAGAGGGCCTGGGGTGGAAGGAACGTTCTTTCAGCCCGAGCCTCCTCCTTTGCCTGGCGGGTCAGCTCTCTCTTTTTCCCTGGAACCACAGAAGCAAGGCGGCGGGTCCTTTTCCCCGTCGCCACTGCCCGGCGTCCTGCCAAATTTGGAAAATGCGATCTAATTGTTGGCAGCTCCAGCCTGCAAACCGCGGCCTGGGTGTTCAGACTCTTGCAATGTGCAACCTTGGGCTCCTTGTCCTTTCGAAGGGCGGGCGATCTCAAGCGCCTTGTACTTTGCAGAGCCCTTCGCCCCCTTTCCTGGCCTGCGCTTATCTGGGGGCGCTCCGGGCTAGGCCCACACTGGAGAGAGCCAGGCACCCGCGAAAGCGCGGCGCGTGGGGATGGAACCCTCCCACTCTTCACTACCCCAGGGGAAAGAAACCTCCAGAGCGGGTTCGCAGAGCCCCTCCTGCGGGCCCAGGGAGACCCCAGGAGCCCCAGCCGACTCTGCTGTGGCCTCCCCCGCGGAGCAGTCACGCCAGTGGCACAAGTTAGGACCTTAACCCCAACCAGGGCCTCCGATTCTCTTTTTCCCTCTCGTCTTTTCACTTGAAAGAGAAACAGAAAGCCCAGCTTTGGGATAGACGGCGCGAGTGACTTCTCCGAAATAAACTTGAAGATAACGACATTACAATGAATGGCAGGACGCACAAAACCCCATGGGCTCAGGTCAAACGGCATTAGTCACAGGTCTTAGCCGCAGCCTCCGCGCCGCGCAGCCCCTTAGGCTATCTCGGAGTTTCAAAAGACGCGTTCAAGAAGATCACTTAAAGTAAGATCCTTCCATCCAATTTCTTGCTTCCTCAGGATTTATTTTGTCTTTTCATGGGCGGCCAGCCGTCTCCCCCGCCTTTTTCTCTTTGGGGCCTTAGGAATGCTCACCAACCGCTGGAAGTGGGGTCCACGTGGATCTCAGCAAGGGGTTGACCCACCTTCCAAAAAAGTGTCAGCGCCCCCTTTTAAAAGAAGTTAGCAGCAGTTAGTCTATAGTGAGGTAGAATGGCCGTGTGTGTTGGACGGGGGTGGGGGGTGGGGGCGGGTATGGAGCGTGTCTGAGGGCAGGAATAATAACTGTAAAAGCTACACCCAAGAAAATGTCCCTGCAGGAGAAGGGGCCTAAGGAAGAGAGGCGCTTGGAAGGCCCTAGGCTGGCTTTTAATCCTTACTGCCCGCTCCCCACCCCCCAAATAAAAAACCCCTGCAAACATAGGCTCTATTCCGATCTTCCGAAAGATTGGGCGAGCACTTCCGAGATGGGAAACCCGACACCTGCAGTCGCTGCCCTTCTTACCGGAACTGGCAAATGCTAGGCAAGGAGGGAGGGAAGGAGGGAACAGGATAAGGAAAGGAAGAAGAGGAGGGGGAAGAAGAGAAAGAGAGAATGTGAAAACCGGAGCCCTTCCTCCAGCTTCTGGAGAACAGTTGGGAAAGGAGGTCGTGACTGCGATGGAAAGCTTTGTGGCAAGGTTAAAGCACAGGTGTTCAAATGGTTTAGACTTTTCTCCCCTATTTTATTGGAAAACTTCAAAGAGCAACTTCTGAAATTCTTCACAGATCTCCTTCTTCCGTTTTCAGGAGTCTCCAATTAGCTAGAGCAAGGCATTTTCCATATTTAAATAATCTCTTATTTAAAAGTTGTTCCTTTCCTTAGGGGTTTTCCACTGCCTGCCGCCTCGTACGCCTCTCTAAGCAGTCTTGGGCGCAGACACTCCGGACTTGCGTCATCTTCGAGGATTCATTTGGCTCCAGTGCGGGCCCTAAATAACTTTTTAATTTGAATCAAGGGAGAGCTTTAGCAAGCTCCGTTTCTGGTTTAATGTGATATAAATCGCAGATGCACTTTTATTGAATGGTTAAAGCAGCGACATGGAGATCATCAACACAAAACGCCCTGAACAAAACCATCGAGAGAAATAAAGCTGGTTAATAAGATTTTTGAGAAAGCTTTGTGTTAAAAAGCAAAAAGGAAAACCAGCTGAAGGTGACAGTTAGTTCATGGTTAATAGGATCAGGGAGGCCTGATGGGGCTGCACACTTCTCTTTGGGGAGGTTCAGCCACCCTACAGAAATGAATGGAACATTTAACACATCTGTTATCTCGTGGAGCAGAGAAACAGGGGAACCCGAGGCTCAGCGCCACCCCAGCCTCAACCCAGGGGACAGGAAAGGGCTGTCTGCAAGAAGATTCCCATCTGAAGCCCCGAATAAAGGATAGGCTTTCCTCATGTGGACCAGCATTCTTGGGAACCGCGTTCTTCGCTCTGTTTTCACACAGTTGTACATCGCAGTTTATTAAGAAACTGCAAAATCTTGACCAAGTTAGGTGCCCCGCAATGGGTAGGGCTCTCTCCCGACGAATCCCAGCCTTCTCCACTACGGCTTTAAAAGTTCAGGCTGTGAGTTTCAACTGAAAGTGCCTAAGGCTCCTTGACGTTGGAGAAGGCCCAGCGTAGCACCTGTGGCGTTCTGGTCACCTTGTCGGCGGCAACTTCGGCAGGGTTAAGCACTTTGCAAGTGGAATCCTGCCAACTTGCCCCAGTGAGGTGCTCCCCTCCGCTCCTACCTTAGGTGAGCCGCGGAGCGTTCCTTGGTAACACTCCTGGAGAAATGTCGCTGAAAATCGTTTTTTCAAGTATCTGGGAGTTTGCATAAGGAGATTCATTTTACTGTTCAGACACCCACCAACTCTCTCAAACTCAGTTTCCCATAATGAAATAACTCAAAATAAGACCTCGACCCCTAGAAACCCTCATTCAATAGCCCCAAAGCATCAATTTCAAGTCTCACTGGGTTGTTAGAGTGGTACACACACACACACACACACACACACACACACACACACACACACATTCATTTAACCCATCCCTCAGGCTTTATGCCTCAGCTGCAGTAATGTGTAGGGCTAGGGATGGAAGAGGGAATATAGTTTCACGTTCACTGACTTGAAAGTTTCTACTGCCCTCCCCAAAGGGGGAGGGTTACTGATTGCCGGGAGATGAATTTCTATGAATATTTATTGATTTATTTTTCGAGGCTCAGCGGGGGAGCTGCAAATAAATTTAGTGCGTTCTTTAAATAACTCCTTTTCTATGAGGCAAGATGTCATCTGAAACTTCTAAATAGGCATTTAATTAGCCCGGGTGTTGATTCGGAACAAAAACTCCCGGCAAGAGCTCAGGGGGTGCACTGTATTGCAAAGAGGCGGTCGATATGCAGAATTGATGCGCGCCAGCCTTTGTTGCCAGCCCATTGTGCGGGCGATGCTTATGAAGACTAATCCAATCATAAATTGCACCTCTGCGCCAATCAGAGAGCCCAGAGCCTCTAGCGAATGAAGCTCGAGTGGAGAACTTTGTTGAACTTCATTGTCAGAGCTGTCACTTTTCAAAGCGCCTTAACGGACGGGCCACTATAAAACCATCACCTCGACGGAAGGACCACGGAGGACTCGTAGGCGCCCAAGTGGGATCGTTCTTTACTTGGAGACGTTTGCTAAGCCCAAGAGAGAGGGCACCGCGGGGGCGGGAGGGGCAGGAAGCGAGGCATTTATCCTCCAGCCACTGGAAGAAGGTTTATTCCGCCCGCCCCACGCCTAACATGATGTTCCCCGGCCTCCTCGCGCCCCCCGTGGGGTACCCCAGCCTCCTGCGCCCCACGCCCACCTTAACGCTGCCCCAGTCCCTTCAATCGGCATTTTCCAGCCACTCGAGCTTCCTGGTAGAGGATCTGATCCGCATCAGCCGACCCCCTACCTACCTACCCCGCAGCGTGCCCACCGCCAGCATGTCGCCCCCTAGGCAGGGGGCCCCTGCGGCTCTCACAGACACCGGGGCCTCGGACCTGGGCTCCCCCAGTCCGGGCAGCCGGCGGGGCGGATCACCGCAGACTGCCGTCTCCCCTGCCAGCGAGCCCACGTTTCTGAAGTTTGGGGTGAACGCCATCCTCTCCTCCTCGGCACCCAGAGCCGGTAAGTGAGCGCAAAAACGCTGAGGGCAGGTCCAGGTGCTCAGTCCTTTTCGCCTCAGTGTCCTGTATGCAGCGGGTACCCACGTACATTGAGGCACGCGCACACTTACGCACGATCCCCGAAACCTCATGTCGCTCAATGTGAGACTTGGGTCCAGCGGATTCCGGGAAAGAAAAGCCTCCAGGTTTGCTCCACCTTCAGAATGAACTTTAGCAGTTCAGTCGGGAGAGAGCGCACAGTTCCCTTGCGCAGCTAAACTGAGCGCACGCTCCTGGGCGCCTGGGTTTCTGCCCTCGAATTTCCAGGAGCCAGTTTTTGGGTTTTTTTTAACCGACACAATGTATTTATTGGCTTAACTAGTATTATGGATCTACAGTTCTTCTGTGCCCCCCTCCTCAGTCCTACCTATCTCGTTAGTGGCCAGGATGAAATTGGGAATGGGAGGGAGGGCGACTCTGAGGACTATTTTGGGAGTGAAAGGAAGGATTTCCACAGATGAGACAACGTTAGGAAAAGACTAATTTCACTCTGTCAATACATTGAGAAAGGTGCCTTTGAAACCAGCCGAAGGGTTAATCATATCATGTATCAATGTGCAGAACAATAATCAAGTACGTAATCTAATTCCTTTTCTGCCTCCTTCTCTCTTTTCCTCGCTCCCTCACTCTCTCCCAGAAGCATCCCCCGCCTTGCTCCAGAGCGTTCCTCCCAAGACCTTCGCCTTTCCCTACTTTGAAGGCTCCTTCCAGCCACTCATCAGATCTTCGTATTTCCCAGGTAGGTTTCGTCCTCCTCCCTTTCGCGATGCTGGGCGGCGCCCCTGCCCCAGCCGGTCGCTCCCTTCCCCGAAGCCATATTTCTCTGTCCACCCCTGGGGTTACGCTCTGGTTCAGAGGTTGCGAGGCATACAACATTCACGAATCCGTCGCGCCAATTTGATGCCCTATTTAGCACAAGCAGTGACTGCTTGACACTTTGCACCAATTCCCTGCTCTACAAATTAGCAGGAATTGTCATGGTCCCAATTTGAGGCGGTTCCCTTCCCGGCGAGGAGCTGTTGGCATCCCTTCACGCCGCCGTTTTCCCACAGAGTTAGTGCACTTGGCCACGATTCCCCACAAAGGTTTCAGCACCATGACCAATTGGTCAGCTCCTCCGGGCAGCCACACACAGACCAGCCCTCGCCCCCACGCCGCCCAGAGACACCTACCAGCCGGGGCTAATTTCTCTTTAAGACTCATTCAGGGCTTCGGGCTTTTCACAAGACCACATGGGGTGCCCTCTTGTGTGGGATGCCTGGGGTCGCCAAAGGGGAGGGAGACTAGATCCTCCCACAACCCTAACCCTCTTTTTCCAACCTGATTTCCCAACCTCTTCTTCATAGCCTCCCCCCACCACCATATTTTTTAAAGGACCACTGAGCTGAAAAAATAAGAAGTATGAGGGAAGCCCATGATTGGTTCCCCATCTAAAGGAAAAACACCTTAAACAGGTTCCAGGAGGTTTTCATCCTGGCGCCCCAGGGGTGACTCAAACTAGGGCTCAAAAACTCTGCAATTGGTCAAGACTCAGAGGGAGAGAGAGGAGACCCGGTGAAGAGAAGCAAGACTGGGCATGGCTGGTGGGGGGTGGGTAAAACCACCACAGCACTCCCAAATATCAGAGAAAGAAACAAGCAATTGATTTTTAAAAGGGGGAGAGAGAATTCACCAACCGCGCCCCCCCCCCACAACACTCCATACACCATTCATGCTGTTGCTGATAATGGAATTTGCTCCCTTTCTCCCTCATCTCAATGCTCTAACAAAAACAACCCGAGCTTTATAAATAGCTTTTCATGTCCATTTAATGAAAATGATTCGGGGAAGAGAAGCCTCTGCCATCAGTATTCTCCCAGTGGTCTTGGCCTGCAGTTGTGTTTAGTTTGAAAGTGTAAATCTCTTTTGTCCCAGTAATATATGGCTTTCGCTGCTTGTCCTTAGTCTTTTTCTGTTAGTTCATTACTACACAATTACCATTCACGCTTCATTAGAGTCTCTGTTTCTTTGGGGGTTTTTTTTCCCTCCCTTAAAGCAAAACTCTCCCCCTTTTTATCATGCCAATACCCATTGGGAAGCGGTCAATGTGCTAATTAGCTGCCACTTTTCATGTATTCGGCCGATTTCTTTACGTTTTGTGGGGGAGGGGGAGGAAAGATTAATATAAAAAAAGATGAATACTGATTGGATTTTTCAAAAAAAAAAGTCCAAAGAGGATTTTCTTCTCTCTATCAAATCAATAAAGCACCTCATTTTCATCTAAAGAATGCAAAAGCCACCAAAGTGATAAAAGCTTAAGAAGGAAACCCAGTGGCCTCAACTAGATATTTTATTTTTGTAATTTATTTTTTTTCTGTTGCTATTTTAGCTGATATACGCAGGTTTGTTTCCCTGAGACCGTTGAATGGAAAACGAAAACAGGCTATTGTGGGAGCTGTTTTCTGTGTTTCCGTGGTTTTATCTAATCCGGGTTTGCACGGTTGAAAGGGAAAGTTATTTAGGCGGAAAGCGCCTTTCACTCTCACAGGTTTGTAGGTTCCTGGCCTATTCTCCAAGGGGAGAAAAAGGAGAGCTTTAAGAGATGAAGGGATCAGAGAGAAACCCCGAGGGAGGTGGCGCTGAGGAGACGGACACGACTGCCTCACTCGCAACCTCCCATCTCCACCCCTCCGCAGCGTCCTCGAGCGTCGTGCCCATCCCGGGGACCTTCTCCTGGCCGCTGGCCGCGCGTGGCAAGCCTCGCCGGGGCATGCTGCGTCGAGCCGTTTTCTCCGACGTGCAGCGCAAGGCGCTGGAGAAGATGTTCCAGAAGCAAAAGTACATCAGCAAGCCGGACCGCAAGAAGCTGGCGGCTAAACTCGGCTTAAAAGACTCACAAGTGAGGGCAGTCTCCCCACAGCCCCTTCCCCTACATGTCACCCCTCCCCCACGCATCGCACCATTGTGGGGGGGAGGGGGTGGTTCTCTGAAACCGCTTAGATCCCATAGTACAGATGGGGAAAGTAAAGTCTAGGGAGGCCATGAGTGCACGAGTCAGCTTTCTCGAGGCTACTCAGAACAGCCCACTTGTCTCCGCGCCCCATCTTTCCTGAGCTCAGCGACGTCTCGCCCCTTGTGGGCCAGACATCAGAGGATGGGGCAAGAGGCGCAGGGGGGAGGGGAGGTTGAGGGAGGGAAAGTGCTGAGACGTCTCTGAATTCACATCAGGGGGTGGGGAGCGGGCAAGGAGGGAAAGGACAGCGCCTCCTTCCCGCCCGCGAGGGCCAGCCCGCGCCCCTGCCCCACGCCCTCTTTGGGGAGGGTCTGTGCTAACCTCTGCTTCCCCGCCGCTCTCTCTGCCTCGCGCGCGCACCAGGTGAAAATCTGGTTCCAGAACAGACGCATGAAGTGGCGGAACTCCAAGGAGCGCGAGCTCCTGTCCAGCGGGGGGTGCCGGGAGCAGACCCTTCCCACCAAACTCAATCCGCACCCGGACCTCAGCGACGTGGGCCAGAAGGGCCCCGGGGACGACGAGGAGGAAGACGAGGGCCCCGGAAGCCCCCGCCACCGCCTGGTTTATCACGCATCCCCCAGCCCGCGGCACCCGCGGGACCCGCGGCTCGAAAGGCCGTTGCCCCCCTCACCCGCGCACTCAAGCAGCCCCGGCAAACCTTCGGACTTCTCCGACTCGGAGGAGGATGAGGAGGGCGAGGAGGAGATCACGGTGTCTTAGAAGCCTCCGGTGCTCCGGGTACTGTTTCTAAGTGCTTTGAAATTGAAGAGGTGACCTTCAGTCTGCGTGTTCACTTAGTCTCCATCGCCCCGACGCTGCTGCTCCTGGCTGTCGCACCGTCACCTCATCAACAGCGCTTCGGCCCCTTCCATTTTCAAAGTGACATTTCTTTCCTCCACACCACCTGCCAACAGCCCTCTCCACATGTTAAATGTAGGTTTTGGTCCCAGCATTAACTTTTCCGCAAGGGCCCCTGTCCGTCTTGTTTGCAAGCTGTTTTAAACACGGAGGGGTGTTCGCTCCCACAGCCTGGGTTCAGCTGTGAGCCAGGCGCTGCTGGGCCTTAGAAGCAAAAACACCTATAAGGAAAGAAACCTTGTATGGAGGAGAAAACCGGGTCAGGAGCCACAACACTGAGCGTATAACTAACTCCAAGGCCCCTGACTTCCTAGATCCCTCCACCCCCTATCTTAGATAGATAGCAAGGGCCTCCTACCCAACACCAGATTCTGGGAACCCAGTCTTCCCATAGCAGTGCCCTTAGAAAGCTCAAGAATTTCAAAAAAGAAAGAATATCTATGTGCCTCTGGTCTAGGGCACAGCATAAATACTGCGTGTTTTCTGTCATTCTAAAGGCTCTCTGGGCAAAGAATTGAATTCTCTAAATGGGAGGAAGAGTCAGTCTCTATTTCTGTATGTGTGTGTTAAAGCATTTTTTAAATAATTTCTGCATCCACAGTATGTATATGCACCAAGCACTGTACCTTGTGCCCCTTTACTCTTTCTGGGAAGGTTTTGCTGACCTGCAAAGCTCCTGAGCACTGGGCATGATGTGAACAGAGAGACCCACAAGCCTCTTTGATTTTTTTTAACTGAACCTTGCTGTCTTTGCACAGCTTTTATGAACTGTACACTATTTTGTACACATGAGTTGTATGGATATTTTATACCAAGGTTATTGTGAATGACTATAAAGGACTGACTAGATTTCCTTTTCTTTTTTTTTTTGCAATGGTTTTTAAACTTTAAAAAAAGGTAGCTGTTTAATTGCATAACTTATAAAGAAATACTTATTTTGTATTTTTGCCATGTACAGATTTTTATATATGTATATATGTATCAAATGAACAAATGCCAAATAAAAAGTAGAATGGATACAAGGCTCACGTGGTATAATTAATTCATAGAATGTTAGAGCTAAAAGGAATGGAACTTTCAGTCCAAGTGCTGCAGGAATTTACAGAAGGTAGGCTGATATTCAAGAGAGGAAGGCACCCAGCTAGTTAGCGGCCAAGCTGGAATGAGAACCCATCTCTGATGCTCAGGCCAGTGCCTACTCTTCTTCCCTGTACCATAAAACAATCATGTTTGCTATGATTACAAATAAAGTGTCTCCAATAAGGTGGAACCAATCACTTTGGTACTCAGCCAGTTGAGTCTGCAATAATCCTTCCCCTTTTCTCTAAGGACTGAAATGGTGGACTAAAAGAAATCAATGAAAGTCAGTTTAAGTGGTTCAAGTTTGCAAAGGTTTGCCTTCTACTCCTTTGAAAGCATATTTCCTAGTCTCCAGGAAAGCTCAAATTTGGTCTTGACTTTTATGTATGAACTGATTTTATTAGGAATGTCATCCATAGGCATGACTTGGGCCCCCAAGTGAAACTGAAGTTCTTCAAAGACTAGCAGCTTTCAGCAGAAATGATCTATTTAACCAGCAACCTAGTAAAAAACATCACCTTAGAACCCTGACAAAAGAGATTAATCTGTCACATCAGCCACACAGACCCACTTTCTTTATTATCCTAATCAACACTCCAGTAGTCCGGGGCGGTGGTGGGGGGGACATGTTATTAAGCTTAAAATTGAATAGCTTGTATCATATCTGAAATTTGAATATACTCTTTTCACAATTAACTCTCTTTTCAAATAACACAAGTCCCCTCCATGCTAAGATTCTGATATCTCTCCCCACTTCCACCGCTGGGCCTGTTCCTGACATTGGTGAACACTGTTTTCATTATTATTTATACATGACCATGGGAATTTATTGTCACCTCAATTCAAGAAGCCGCCCACATTTCCCCCCACCACACATACGAAATGGCCTAGCATGGCATCCTGCACATGTAAGGCATACATCCTTTCAATAGGAAACTCTCTCTGTTCTGAATGATTCAAATTATTTCTCCTTCACTCTGCTGCTGCCAGGACATCCAGAGATGGGATCCCGACTAGAAATGGCCCACCTTTCCTTCCCTGCCAGGTGAAGCCTGCAGTTCTTAGTTATAGTCAGAAACCATTTTCAGGCATGGGAATGGATTAGTGTCTACATCTGGAGTCAAAGTACTCTGGAGGCACACCCATGTTCATTGCAGCATTATTCACTGCAGCCAAGAAGTATTCACAATCATATCATTCACATTATTCACAATAGCTTCCACAATCCAAATGTCCACTGAAGGATGAATGGATAAAGAAAATGTAGTGTATGCACACAATGGAATATTATTCTGCCTGAAAAAGGAAAGAAATCTTTTCACATGCTCAATATGTGTGAACCTTGAGGACATTATGCTAAGTGAAATAAGCTAGTAATAAGAAGACGAATACTATATGATCCCATTTGTATGAGGAATCTACCATAGTCAAAGTCATAGAAACAAAAAGTAGAATTGGTTGCCAAGGGCTGGGGTGAGTGGGACATGCAGAGTTGTTGTTCAATGGGTACAGAGTTTAAATTTTACAAGGTGAATAAGCTCTAGGGATCTGTTGAACAATGATATGGATATAGTTAACACTACTGAACTGCAAATAAAAAATGATTAAGATGGGGGGGTGACAGGTTAGCTTAGCTGGTCAGAGCGTGGTGCTGATAACACCAAGGTTGCTGGTTCGATCCCTGAATGGGCCACTGTGAGCTGCGCTCTCCCTAGAGGAGTTAACTATGCCATTGTAGCACGAAAGCAATGTGTAATCAGTGACCATGGCTGTTCCCCAGAAAATTTTTTAAAAAATGATTAAGATGGTAAATTTTATGTTATGCTTTTTTAACCTCAATTTAAAAACATTAAAAAAATATTTAAGTAAATTGGAAAAATAGCTTACATGTTAGAAGAGCTAAAAATCCAAAACAATGATGAAAATTATGGCATGTAAGTGAAAAAAATTTGAGTAGCAGTATTTTCATAATAATATTATCATAAGATAAAGTAGAATTCAAAACAGGAAACATTATACGGTGTCAATAAAGTGTTGTTCTATATTACTAAAAGTTAAAACCCAGAAAAGGAAAAAATACATGCTGGAGATTTTTTTAAAGTTATATGCTACTCCTTTATATTTCCTTCCTGAGAACTATAAATGCTGCATGTGGGCTCATTTTAGTGTCTCTCTCAGCTGAGCATCACAAGGGTGAGGACCATGTCTGTTCTGCATACTGTTTCCCTGGTGTCATGCATGGTCCCTAACACATATTAGGTGTTTGATATGAGCTCAGTGAATAAATAATTAAAAGGACCATCAGAGACACTCTAGAGTCTAAACCATAGGTCTGGAAGTTATAAATTTTTCAAATGAGGTGAAGGATTATTTAGGCTGATGGGGGGGGGGCAGGAAAGAAAAAAAGGGGGGAAGAAAGAAAGGGAAAGGAAGAGACACTCAAAGATCTCTCTCCTCAGACATACACCCAGATAGTCAACAATCTTTGGATGTCTGCCCTTGGGTGTCCCAAGAACTTAAATTCCACATGCCCAGGACCAAGTACCATGTCTTCTAGTTGCCACACCCCATTCGAACAAAGCAAAAAACAAAAACAAAAAACCACACACACAAAACCCCCACAAAACCCCAAAAACTCTTGCCCCTAATTCCATGAGTGCCTTCATTTCTCTTGCTCAAAAACTGGAGACCTCAGTGACATTTCTGGCCTCTCCCTTTCTTTCCCACTCCACATAAGGAATCCACCACTAAGGACTGTCCCTGTATGTAAGTCCTTCATAGATTTTCTGCTCTTCTGTCCATTCTCACTGCCACTATCTAAATGAAAAGCTATTGTTCTTTTTCTTTAAAGGAATATAGTATGTGCTAGATGTGATGATTAGCATTTTATATACATTATTTCCTTTAATCCACACTATGACTATCTTAATCCCATTCTACAGAGTAGGAAACAGACTCAGAGTTTTTCTTGTTATGTGCTTTCCCCAGCACTGAGAGCATCTAAGAAGGCTTTAGGAGAAGTCTGCCCAAAGCCTTGAAGAATGATATGATTTTTATTGGGTCAGAAGAGGAAACCATGTACCATATTGTTTCGAGAAAGACATACAAGAAAGAGCAAAGGAAAGGATGTTTCTGGAATGTATTTGTAGTCAGTGATGTTATAAAGAAACGTTTTTACTCAGAGGCAGTAAGTTAAAACAAGCAGCCACGAAGCAAAACATTTCCAAAATGTCTTTCTTTCCTTTTCTTCAAATACAAAAGAGTAACAAGAATGACTACTGAGTTCTAATGTGCTGGGCATAATGTTAATCTTTTATTTATTTTGCATCTAACCTTTACTACTGCGTGGAAAGATCAATATTCTCATGCGACAGAATGGGAAACGGAGGCTGAGTAACTTTCCCCCAATTATCCAGAGAGCAGAGATTCCAGCGCATAACCTGTTCAATAAGGGCAGAGGCACCATAAAACCCAAATCTCTACCCCTCCCCCTGCCCCACTACCAATTTGAGACTCAACAAGGGGCCCTTTTTGTAAATATTTACTCTTTCCTTTAAAAAGTATTTTTAGCTGGAATCACTCCATCTGAATTTTGAAAGAGGGTATTAATTAACTATAGAAATGGTTTTCCTGGCAAAGACTTACATAAGTCTGCAGCTTTACACGCTCCAAAAAGAAAATAAAAAAAGTGTTTCCTTGGTTTTCAGTTGATGGTTTTACTTTTTTAAAAATGACATTTTTGGGCTGGCCAAGTGGCGCGTTGGTTAAGGGCTGGCTTGGGA